TCCAGTCCCCAATAGAGAGAGAGAGAGAGATTGGCAAATTTATCTAAAATGCCATCAGCAGTCATTGATGCCACATTATTTTCATCAAATGGGTCAAAAGATCACCATTTGTACAGTTTTTGTTGTTGTTGTTGTTTTTGTCCCAAAGCTTCCATTTCAGTCCTCTAACCCAATATGTATTACTGTATTATCAGTAAATTTTCAGGGATATTTCTCAATGACTGTGCAGCTTTCCCCTTGACAACCCAGCAGAAAAGTTCCTGTCCCCGTGTAACAAATTTTGATACCTAAGGAAGCATCCCTCAAAATAACACAGGCATACTTGTATTCTTGATAAAATTCCTAACATATTATTTCTAAGGACAGAGCTAGATTCAAAGTAGTACCCCAAACGGAAACATTGCTTCAGATAACATATATCACAGTGTTAAACAGTTTCTGTTACTGACATTACCATTCCAGAGACTTAAGTATAACTGACAAAGTATAGGCTATATGAAACGTAAGTAAAAATATTACAGCATATGGGCCAAATCTGACAAAGATGCCTATAAAGTGTACTTTGTGGAAATTTGTTTATAGTTAAGGGACTGTTGAGTTCAACAGATATGACCGTTTGCTTCTCTAGAACACAAGTGTATGCTGTGGCTACTGCCCTTTGACCCTGTTAGACTGGTCCTTCTCCAGTCTCTTTTTTCCTCCCTTTCCCTCTTTTCTCTCTTCTGGACTAGGAGCGAGCAAAAGAAAAAAAGGATATGTGATAGGCAAAAGCCATTTCGTGTCCTGGTTGAATTGTTCGGTATGCACCTCCCAGAGTGCGTGCTGAAGATCACCACTAACTCGAAAGACAGCCACCTCTAGGTTGTTCTGCCAAAACCAGGGCAAGGGGAGACTTCTGTGGGAAACCCCGGGTTAAAGAAAATTAAGCAGATTAGCAGATTGCCATTGCCAGCCTTCACAAAAATCTTTCAAATTCGACTGTGCGGTATGGGAAACAGAGTCTGTGCACTGTTACCTAAAACTTATTTGATCATGAAATACTTCTTCCTCTGAAAAGCCACTGATATGTCAAGGCGAATGTTGGCATGGGCCCCAAGAGCAAGCAGCAAAGCGACACTGTTCCTGAGAAGTATGAGTGACCCCAGAGCAAATAGAAACCAGCCATCATGAAATGAGCTTCCCAAGAATACTCCCATTTTCAGTCCTACCTTTTTATTTGGGTTAGGAGAGAAGAACCAGTATTCGAATTAATGATTTTCCTTTTGGTATTTCTAAGAAGCCCTTTCATGAGGAAAAAATAAAAACAAAGGAACCTTTAGGAATTATTCTCTGTCAGCTGCTTGTGCATCAGCTGCTTGTGAATTGGGGTTAGAGCTTTAGAGATGACTGTCATTGACTAGCCTTCACTGTCATTATGGCCCACATGACTTCTGAAAACTATCATTTTATTTTTAGTGACATTTTGATGACAGAACTACTCTTCTCTTTCTTTTTTTTAATTCCCCATTTTGGCTGCTGAGGCTAAATCAATACAATCTCTGGTCTCTTTCTCCCCATCTTGCTGTTTCTTTGCCCACTTTATTCCTCCTGCTCAGAATGCCCTTTTCTGTCCTATATGCATATCTAAATTCTGTCCTTTCCGCTTCGATTTAGGAAGCAGTAATTTCTCTCTTCTTTCCATACCAAAGCACTTTGCCTGTAGCCTTGCTTAACTGTACCTCTAATACCATGCCACATGGGGCAGTTTATTGATGTCCATGCCCTGCTGGTTGGGGAGCATCAGAAGACAGCCATGTCTTAGACATCTCTGGATCCTCCACCTGGGTTCATCTAGTGGTTGTACAGAGTAGCTATCCAGTGGATGTTGACTGATGAAAGAGTGACTGGTTAATTATTTGTAGTGTCCTACTTCCTCTCAGTTACTGGTTGTATATTGCTAAAGCAAATATGATAGGAAAATAAAAGTGGCAGAAAGTATTGCCTAATTGGTTCTTCAGGGCATCCCTTATAAATACTACGAAACAGAAAAACATTTCTTGAGGCAAGTGTTGAGTTCAGACTGTCCTCCTGCTACTCTTGAAGGGAGAACGACTATGGTCCTTCTGGACAGAGAAAGACACCTTTCTATGAGGTGCTTGAAAGTACCAGTATCCAGCTGCTCTGTTTCCCTGGTCGTTGTCTCGAAGGTTCTAAGGGTCATCTCTATTGAATTCAAACACTTCTCAGTGCTCTTGTCAAAACTCTGTCCAAGTTTTCTCTACCTCACAATTTTGTAGTTCTCCAAATTGGATGGAATTGTTAATTAAGGGTCAGGCCAGTACTAAATATAGTAGGAGAATTACTCTTGAATGTTAACATATGCTAGAGGCTCTAAGTTACAGACATCCAGCTTTCAAGCGGCTGTTACTGCTCTGACCACATCTCACTCCCAGTACCCCCTCTGTCACTGCCCTGAAAGCTACCACAGAAAGGCAAAAAGCAAGTTATAGCTTGGGAAGATCTATGGACAAAGATGCAAAGGAAAGAAAGTTGACCTGCAAAGAGGAATTGCTCAGGGTTGCTGACCCCAAGAACAGCAGCCTTCAGGGCCTGGGTGACCTGTCACTTCCCACTACCTACATTTCTCTACCCTGCCTTGTTAGGCCACCTGAGATTCCAGTAATTAGAGAAGTATAACCAATCTTTCTCCAGTCTGATTACTGTGTGCTGAGCGAGGAAACCTACTAGACCACTGGTTCACTTTCTCAGATGTACCAGCAGTAGGAGCTACTCACTCTGCGGCCATGTGAACTAAATTCTGGGAACTTGGAGAGGGTCCAGGCAACCTTGCAGTCACCTCTCCTTTCCTCAGCCCAACCTCCCCACACCCCACCCCACCACCTTACACGTGCTTATCTGGCCTCTCCATTTGCCATGCTCCCATCACGCTATGAGTGGCATCACTGCATTGTACAAAACCTGGGGGGGGGGACGGACACTGTTCACATAGCAGTGAATTAGCACAGTCATTAGTAATTGTCTAGCACGTGTGGTAGGGATTCAGTAAATGTTTGTAGCCATTGTGTGCTGGGTCCGGGGTTCTCTGAGGTAAGTCTCAGTTATGAAGTACGCAAGACACGGCACTGGCCCAGGGCTGGTGACTTCTTTACTCCACTTAGCTGGGGAAGGATCCACATAATGGAAACATTCCCTGTACTATCTCAGAGAAAGAGCTAAAAGTCTGCCAGGCCAGCAGGAAATTCAGGCCTTTTTGCCTCTCCCAGTGATTCTTCTTCAAACTTTTCAGCCTTGCAACCATTGCTTCAGAGTCTTGCAGATAACAAGGGCAGCTGAGTGACTCAGTCAGTTAAGACTTCAGCTCAGGTCATGATCTCAGGGTCCTGGGATGGAGCTCCACATTGGGCTCCCTGCTTAGCAGGGAGTCTGCTTCTCCCTCTGCCCCTCTCCACCCCCACTTGTCCTCTCTCTCCCCCTCTCTCAAATAAATAGATAAAATCTTTTTTTTTTTTTTTTTTTAATTCTTGCAGATAACAGAAGTGCTGCTCAGATGGAGGGAAGGAGAGAGTTGAGGCTTTTCCCTACTTGGTTGCTTTACCTCCCTTCATGGAGGTCCTCAAGGTCCCTTTGGAACAGAGTGGAACCATTGGATAGCCAGTTTACCATGCTGGGCATTTCATGTGCTTTACTGTGCTTATTAATTATTACATCCTGTTTTCAAAGTAACTCTCTTTGCACCAGAATGTGTGGTGAAGTTGTTTTACAAATCCCTGGAAGTTTTGTTCTTTCCTTCAACAAGTTGGTAGCCACTCTTTTTGGAAAAGCATTAACATGCATAAGCACTGTAGTCAACTTCCGTGCTCATTAATGAAGCCCAGAACTAATAGTTACATTGTCGTAATTTGACAAAGCCATCTAAATCTATGCATGTTTTTTGAAAGCTCCCTAAACATGCTGCTAAATCCCCTAAAAAGCTCCTAAACTGCTTTGGCAGCCATTAGCCGAGCATAAGCAGAGGAACTCTTTTCAGTAAGTGAACAAACAGAGAAAATATGCTGAATGGCTGGACAAATGTGTTTCAGCTGGCCCTTTCATTTACCGATGTAAAGGTGCAGTCAGTATCAATCACTGTTTTCCCTGTTGCCCTGAAAATCACAATATCTCTTTTCATCCCACAAGCTCTTTTCACCACAGTAATGTGTCTTTAGAATGACACTGGCATCAGCCTGCTTCCGCTGTCTGAAGTCCAGAGAGCTTAAAAACACATTTCAGGATTCAAGACTTGAACCTTCCTCCCCTTCCGTTTTCCGACCGCCCACTCTGCCCTCCCTCCCTCTGCAACCACTCCACCCCCTCCCCAGATTCTTTTCAGTTCTTCCAGCTCTCCTCACTGAGTAAACAAAATTCACTTCTCTGTCCTAATGCAGCTCTCTAAAGTAAACGTAGAAAACTTCTATCCGATATTCCCAAGATCTAAGAACTCAGTTCAAGGGATGCACATAAAGAAATGCTCTTACATGTCGGTAATAGCTCAAAGGTCAAAAGGAATGTGGAAATTCTGTGCCCTGACAAGGTGTGCTGAGGAGCAGGACCTCGCTGTCTATCAGAGTATCTCCTTCCTCTGCCCTCACCCCCTTGTCACTCGGTTCCTACCTGCCCCCGCTGCACATACACACTCCCCTTTTGTCATCTCGTATCAGAAGTATGTGCCTGCACCTGTGTTCCACCTTTACTGTTGCGAGCTTCTTAAGAGCAGATGCCGTGTCTTGTATCTCTTTCGGCCGCTCCTGATTCTGAGTACTTAATACATTGCTTTGGAATGAAGGCGATTACTTTTTATCCTTCTGAAAACTGAAGCGGAATAAGTGCAAAGATACATGTTAGCGAGGTGCTCATAGTTGTAGCAGGAATATTTGAAACACCACATTTCTAAAAAACAGTACTGACTGTTTTTTCTCTCCCTTTTTTTGTATGTTTGTTTTTATTTCTTTATTTTGCTTCAGATTATAGCAGTCTGTAGAGAGGCAGCCCTTCTGGCTCTGGAAGAAGACATTCAAGCCAACTGCATTATGAGAAGACATTTTACTCAAGCCTTGAGCACTGTGACACCGAGAATTCCTAAATCACTGAGACGTTTCTATGAAGAGTATCAAGAGAAGAGTGGGCTACATACACTCTGAGAAAGTATACATATTCAGTATGCTAAAAACGCTTACTAGAGAAAACTTGTTTCTTTTTTAAGAATTTTTTCTTGAGAGTGTCAGAAAAATCCTTCATAAGCAAAGTGTCTGAAATATGTTGACTGGAAATTGAGAGGCTTCAGTGGTTAAAGACATTTTAAATGATATGGATACAATGAAAATATCCATGAAAGTCTCTGGACATGAGTTTAAATCAGTTTTATCTGGATATGTGTGCGAGTTTTAAAAATCAAACTAGCTTTTTCATTTTTGACCTGGTTTATTCATCCCATGAAATGCTCTCCTAACTCCAGAATCTTTTTCACTGCATTCCTAAGTGCCCAGCCTATGAGCATCAGTTTTATACAAGAACATAAAGAATGCATGTGGATTAGTCCATAGTGAGAAAGATTTACAGATCTTTATTTTTAAAGGCCAGCCAGTGAAATAGGCAAATGCACCAACCAGGTTTATATATATATATTTTAAGATTTTATTTATTTATTTGA